GGTTTAATAATATAACATTTTATAAAGATAATAATTAAGTATTCTGTTAGAACTCAATGATTATCTTAATTATATTTTAGATTTTTTATATTTAAAATATGATGTTTATCATATATTTGATTATGTTTACCTGCAGTTAGCTACACTAATTCAGATATAGAGCTTTAATAAGTTGTACTTACGCCACCTACTTGTAATCTTGATTTTTAAGTGATAGACATTAATAAACAGTATTTTATGCATAAAAAGTGGGTTTTAAGAGTTTTGTCAAATGCTTTATAATATAACTAGTTGTGTACCCGCGCAATGCAGCGGGAGGCGAAATTTGAATAAATGTAAGCCAGTATACCAGTACCGGATAAACAAAAGTGTTATTTTTGGTGAAACACAAGATTTTCTAAATTGATTGTCATCGCAAAAAGTGTTTTTTCTTTTTAGTTCAATGAACATAAAAGAATTTTTAATAAATTAAATCACTTAAAAAGGTTGCAATACAATCACATACAAATATTTGTAAGCAATAGTATATGAACATCTAGACTAACCCAACAAAAGAAAGCTCAATATTTGTCAAAGACCTTCCAGCCTAGTGGTAAAGGCTTGGGCATGGCATAGTCATGAACCCGAGTTCGAGCCCTGGGAGAGGAGTGTTGGCGACATTTAAATGAGGCCATGTTTAGCCTCCAAATTTGCCGGGGATTAGTCGGGCTTTGGCCCGGACACCCTTACAAAAAAAAGAAAAAAAAAAAAAGAAAAGAAAGCTCAATCAATTAATAAAATAGGTTGTAGATCATTAAACTATCATTTACATTCAAAATTTATATTTTCTCACATCTATTAAGGATGTCAAAAGATATTATAGGTTATCTAATGACATCAGTATTTGATAACTTGTATTGAAACTTCTAAACAAGTAAACACATAATATTAGCAAACGTTAGAGTAAGAACAATGAGTTAACCTAGCTTATTACCTAATGAGAATCACAATACACAATTTTGGATGTTCTAATATGTGACATGATACTTTCCGGCTTGGTTTTACAAAGTGAATGTACACACCATGATGAAAATGGGAACGGAACCCTAGGAAAATTTTTATTCAATAAAAATAAAGATTACAAAATGTTTAAATGAACATACCCATACTTACAATATAGAAGGTACCAAAAAACGAAAAAAATGAAGATCCAAACATAAGGATCAGAAATACGCATAACTCCGAACACAAGGACCCAAGCCCAAAACGTTAACTGATAACCGAAATTGGAGTCCAGCCCATATTAAGTCATTTGAGGCCAATGGGATTAGTCCAATCTTCATGATGCCCAAACTCCAAATACCAATCCAACTCTACAAACCAAGGATCAATATATCCCAAAGCCCATAGTCTAAATCCATTTTCAATAATTGAATGCAATATATGGCCCATTCCTTTTAAATGAAAGTCCAAATAGGAGTCCATCCCATAAAGTCAATCCAAAACAACATCCAGTCATAAGTCATAACCAGTGTAAATCCGATCCCAAATAATCGATACTCCCAAGTCCCATCTTCAAAAACAGTCGATCATCAACACCAATAGAACAAAAGAAGCAATCGACAATAATTCTAGACGATCGGGAAACAGTAGACAGTCACAGTCGACATACCATTGATCAGCCCAATCATCCATTCAAAACAATCGACAGTCATTCATGTTCATAACTCAATTTATCAACAGATCGATCGAAGAAGATAAGCAAATCAGCAGATACCATCAACAACAAGTGATCGATCCAAGATTGGACACCCCCTTCAAAAGAAGCCGCACACACCTACAATTTGAAATTAGGGCACCAATCGGTCCGATCAAAAAACCCAAAACCAATGCCAAGCGATCAAAACAGAAATCGTTATGTAACTTTTACCACCATTTGATTTCGAAAACCATTTGTAGCAGCATAGGTTAGATGGTGGCTGCACAAATGATCAAGATTGGATTTTTAACCAAAAATTGTACCTTGAGATGAACTCATATCCGGACTTGGTACAAGTTGGATACAGCAGCTAACAAAGTATCTTGAAACACACAACATGTTTTTCACAAGCATAAAAAAGTCTGGATAAACAACACAATCTTTGGTTGTAAGATTGTTTTTCACCTGATGCACCATACTCCAGAAATTCAACTTTCTACATACCCCAGATCCTCTTATGCTTAAACAACACAATCTTTGGTTGAAAGATTCGAATGGAACCGAGACACAAACAAGGGGTTGAGGCGAAGCAATTGAGAAGGAGAGTAAGAACTGAAAAACAGTAAAAATCATTGGGAAAGATAGAGATCTTACATTTTAATCTAACCAGTTCTCCGTCTATGTTGTTTGCATTGAAACGATGCTTGGCATAACAAAACCTGTCTTGTAAAACTTCTAAATATTGAATTTTTACATCCCGCCTACAAATCCATGATCACCTTACAAGGTGATGCCTTATCACACTCCGCTCTTCGTCCAATTCAAAGTTCCCACGACCAAATTCCACGCTGCTAAAAAAACGCCTTCAAATCCATTATTCCATAATCCAGCACCTATGCATAAACACAAAACCATCACGAGCCGACCTCACATGTTTTATAGATACAAGATATAAACCAAATTATTCATTAGATTACCTTGCTTTGCAATTCCTCCACCTTCACGTCAATATGAGTAACAACTTTGTTAGACCCATATACAATCTCTTTAAAGTGCAGCGCCACCATCACAAGTTGATTCAGTAGATGCATTACAATCGCATTGAAATCCTTCATGAATGTCATGTACTTTTTGAAACTCTGCATACCATCAACCTCAATTTGTCATCATCTATTATAAATGGGGTTATTTAGAAGAATATTTTTTTTAAATACATGACCTTCTCACAGATGTGCAAGTAAAATCTAAGGATAAAGCACCAAGCAATAGACTTTATACCACAAATGTTTCAAGTAAGCAGTTGGCTTAGGATGATGTTAAACTCAAGATACCAAGGAGGAAAGTTAAGTTACCCCTTCTGTAGAGCCTTCTGCACTCCAAACTTCTGAGTAGAAATAAAGGAGTCAAGCAACCCACGAATTGCCATGTCCACATCTTCCTGAGTCACATGCTGCCTCAGGTGCATTCTAGCATGAGCTTCTGACATCTGTAACATTGATTCTATGTGCCTTTCTTATTGGAACTCCTTGCCCATGCTATACATGTCACAAACAATTAATTAAACACAGGCTATATCTTCTAAAAAAGAAAAACATAAAAAACATTCTCAACTTGATTTGCCTAATCAATGTCCTTCCTCTTTTCCTTAGCCAACTCTTTCTCAACATATCTTAACATGCTTGATAGCAAAAAGATTAGTAAGGTTTTATTTTGTATATACTACCTAGCAAGGTAATTCTACCACAAATGTACAGAAGAAATCGAAATCAATATATCATATATATTCAGATTACATAATCAACTACAACAAATCAATTGGAAAAAATCAAGATCAATATCTCATATAGATTCAAATTACAGAATCAACTACAGCAAATCAATTGAGAAAAATCGAAATCAATATATCACATAGATTAAGATTACAGAATCAAGTAATTGGTTGGAAAAAATTACAGAATAAAGTATATCATATAGATTAAGATTACGATTATTCTCGACTGCCTTTTGAGGGAAAAGAAAGAAAAGAACATCACAAAATGAAGAGAACAGAACCAAAAGTCAAGTTGAAGGCGTCGATTTGAAAGAAGAGGACGTCGATTTGGTTCATTAGTTGTGTACATTATCTACACTACATTACAAATACATATGCACACACACATCAAGATGAATACAACATATTTCTGTTTCTGTTTCTGTGTATGTGCATAACTCAATCATGATGGTAATACAGCAGTGCATACATGATGGTAATACAACAGGCACATGGGGGATGGGTTCAAATGAAATCTCAAGTAAAGGGCTGTTTGGTTGTTAATTTCTACACAAATAAAGGGTTGTTTGGCACATATATTTGTATACACATACAGATTTGTAGAATTTTGGGTAAAAGGCGCACAAAATATGGGAAACGTTCCGGAAAATATGGGGTTCGGTCAGTGCCCTCAATCTACAATTCCCACACCATTTTCTTGTCAAATTTCACTTTCAGGAGATGTAGTTACACCCCGAGATTGTAAACAGCAGGAAGCAGAATCACATATAAATCTCATTATTCTATTCACAGTGGGAAAGCTATATATCAAAACAGTTGTAGCTATGACACATCCAACCATCTATTTATTTATCTTACTATATGGTGCTAATATGCAGCTAACAATAAGATAGTATTTTCATTTGTGAATATGTATGTTATTTTGTTAAGATAAATAATAGATGTCTTAGGGGCTATTTACCAACAACAATTAACAGCAATAGGAAACAACAAAATCAATAGAAACAACAAGGTGTTTGGGTTTATAAACAGCAAACAGCAAACCTAAAATAAATTCTATCAAACAGCAACAGCGATAAAAACAACCTACTTGAGGTTTATGCTAAACATGTGATCAAACAGCAACAACAACTATAAAATAGCAAATACGGCAACCTAATCGATGTTTATGCTAACTATAACAACAAATACATAAATAGCAAACATCAAACAGCATCAACAGGCCCTTAGTTCTTCTAATTGAAGTGATTTCTAGACGAGTGTTGTTCTTGATAATACAACACTAATAAAAATAGAAGCACGTAGAAGCAAAAAGAGATGTCATTCCGGTGTTCACATAGTTTATATGTGAAAGGACAAACCACTGATAAATTTCATAACTGATTCTTGAAAGTTGAAAGCAAACAACATTTTGAACATCTAATGATAGTGAGTTTGATATTACAGTCAAAGACGTAGATACTGTATTCAAGATACTTTAGACTTGGAGAGTGTAAAGACTGGGGCTAAAAGTACTAATCTTGATTGCACCAAGATTAGTGGGTAAAAGGAAAATCAGTGCATTTTTAATTTGTGTCATGGACACAGGGAGTACTGCTTCCTCAACCAAGAAGAGATCCAGTGGAAGAGTAAGAGAAGTACAATTATGGATATACAAGTGCAGATAATGACTGTAAGTCAAGCATTTTATCCAACCTGTTGTTTGCAAGACCTTGAATGAGCACGGTCCATGACAATTAATTTTTCCTAGGCATCTATTCAAAGACTTCGATTAAATTCTCTATGGAGCCACAATTGTGCATAAAAAACTAATAAAGCAGTTCCAAGAAACGATGAACTGTTACACTGTTAAATACCAAAACAGAATTTGTAGCAGCAACCTCTTGCACCTGTCTAGCAAATATGTTGAGGAAAACCGAAGTGGAACTTCATGTTACACAAGAAGGACTGACTGCAATTTATTGTAAACGCATTTTATTTTTATTTTTTAAGAAAGTTGTGAAAGCAATTTTATTTTTTAATAAAGTTCCATTATGTTGTTTTCTTGGGCCTCATCATTCGAAGTGCTATACACTTGTCCCACCATTTTCAAATCTTGTGGATTCACATCTTTGTCTACCATATTTGCTAAGATTCTGCTTGTTTCCTACCCATACTTTTATTTGACTACTTAACATACCTGTTTGTGGGTTAAACATCTGTCAACAGATGTCAGCTGCTGCATTTGCTAAGGGCCTCCTAGACTTGGAAGGACAATTAACACCAATACTGGTGTGTCATCTTCTATACATACACATCTTTTTGAGATGGAAGAAGCTAAGGTTTCTTTTTCTTCTTTACCTGAATGCTTTTTGACCGTTGACTCTTCAGAAATATAAGAAGTCTTCACATGGTACTATTTTTAATCCAATAAAATTACAAACCTAAACATGAAATTCATCTGATTCTAGATCTATCACACACAGAGGATCAATTATTTCTTATTCTTTTGCTTTTATATAAGTTCAAAATTCTTTCTGCCATTTGCAGGCTAGATTGAATGACTTGATAACGTCTGGAGTGAAGGCAGTGCAAGCAAATGGATCATCTAAAAGACCGTGGATGGTTGATGGAGCTGGACATCCACTAAATGCTGCAGAGCTTCTACCTACACTGGTAAAGTAGTTATTTATGCTGCTATCAAGGTTTTCTGATTTCGGATGTCAGTTTCAATTATTTTTATTAGTGACTTTGTTATTGCACTTCTTGTGGATAGAATGTTCGCCAAACTTGTTTACATCAAGCACTGGAATCATGCAATTGCCAATTACACAGCCATCACCTTCCTTAGCCTATCCAAAATCATATACTAATATACTATTAACAAACATAAACTTAAAGACAACCTACTAAAGCATACTATCCCTAAACCCTCACTCATAAAAAACTTCCACAGTATGAAACAGAAGCCAAGTAACCATGAAATCACAAGTAAACATGAAATCAAAATGGTTTAAATCACAGGTAAACAGAAATTAAATTAAACAGAGTAGAAAACGAATATGAACCTGTAAACTGCAATCTTTTCCGGTCGCTGCGATTACGAACAAATACCTCCTCTAGATTCTTGATTGACACTGATGGATTGAAGAACATGTCAAATATATATATGCATCTCAGTCGAATTAAACGATTTCATCGATTGGGATTAGGGTTGCGATAGATAAAAATGGGATTGGGAATTAGGGGCGATAAAATGGGCGATTTCAT